GACAGGACTGGACCTCAGGCCTCGTCCTACTGTATCTGCAGCTCCAGCCTGTCTGTGGTCTGTGTCTGTCTGTGGTCTGTGTCTGTGGTCTGTGTCTTGGTCTGTGTCTGTGCCTGTATCTGTGCCTGTATCTGTGCCTGTGTCTGTGTCTGTCTGTGCCTGTGTTCTGTGGTCTGTGGTCTGTGCCTGTGTCTGTGTCTGTGGTCTGTGTCTGTATCTGTGGTCTGTGTCTGTGTTCTGTGTCTGTCTGTGGTCTGTGTCTGTGGTCTGTGTCTGTATCTGTGGTCTGTGTCTGTGTTCTGTGTCTGTCTGTGGTCTGTGTCTGGGGGCTGTGTCTGTGCCTGTATCTGTGCCTGTATCTGTGCCTGTGTCTGTGTCTGTCTGTGCCTGTGTTCTGTGGTCTGTGGTCTGTGCCTGTGTCTGTGTCTATGTCTGTGTCTGTGGACCAGCTCCAGCTCAGTGACTCAGTAATCCTCTCAGTCAGGTCCCTGTGATAAGCTCTCCTTCAGAGCTTCTCCTCCACCACAGCCTGAGATTCTCCATAAAAGGAGGATGAAGCTGTAACACAGTTATTACAGTGACTGAAAAAAAACAACAACTTCTCCACTGTCACAACCACGAGAAATGAACAACAACCAAGAAAAGACTTCTCAAAGTGACGGCAGCAAAACTGAAGGAGCCCTGTGGGGGTGCAGTGTGTGTGTGTGTGTGTGTGTGTGTGTGTGCAGCCGTGCATGAAGAAAAGAAGAAAAGGGTTTGAAGGGGGAGACGGGGGAGACAGAGGGGAGGCAGAGGGGTGCAGGGGCCAGCAGGGAGGGCAACAGACAACCAGGAGGAACTCGGGTGAGACAGTAGGGTGACTTGCGAGGGGGTGACATCATCCCTCATTTGAATAATCCCCCAGCCTGGGCGGTGATTGGCTGCTCCAGAAGAAAGCAGAGTCTCCTGCTATTCACTATCAGTCCTTTCAATTCCAGCATGGCGGGCTTTGGGCTGAATGGTGCCTTCGTGGACCCGTGGAAAGCTTCGTTGTGACGTTATCGAACTGACAACAGGTCGTTCGGCCTGAACTGACTCTGTTTGACCTGTGATTTATAACCTGTGATAATCGGTAGAAACGATCACGTGGATCACCAGCTGTAACTCCTCATTAACCTCCTTATTAACATGATGTCAATGATTTTATTCAAATCAGTGAATGTGTTTGGAAATCACGTTTCGAGTTCATCTCGTGGCTGTGATTGAAAACCAACTTTATCGACTAACAATCACAACGTTCGGTGAGAGTGTAGTCGATAAGAACGATTATAGCCGCGACTGAAAGTGAAAACCCACGACTGAAGGAATGTTACAGCAACAGTTAAGAACATTTGATTGACTCTGTTATTTGTCGACTTTAATTTTTTTCTCGGATTTTTCCAGGTGCACCTGAAGACAGCAGCAGCCGTCAGCCCATCTCCTGCTGTCGGTCAGTGTGTGTGAGTGAGAGAGAGAGAGAGAGAGAGAGTGTGTGTGTGTGTATGTGTGTGAAGCGTCCTCCCCCTTACTCTCCTC